CCAAAATTTTCCTCATGCTACCCCTTTGTATTCAATTCCTCCCTCTACCCCCAGTCTTTGGCAACCAGTGATCTGTTCTCCAGATCTATGGTTTTGCCATTTCTAGAAGGTCTATGAATAGAATTATACAATATGTATGTACCCTATTGAGTTTGGCTTCCTTCTATTAGCATAATGCATTTTAAATTCTCCCATGTTGTGCCCATGAATCCTCTATTCCTTTTTTATTGCTGAGTAATATTCTGTTGTAAGATGTTCCATAATTTATTTATCCATTTACCAGTTGAAGAACATTTGAGTTGTTTCTGGACTTTGAGATTATAAATAAAGCTGCTATAAAGATTAACATAGAAGTTTGTATGTGAACATAAGTTTTCATTTCTCTTTGGTATATACATAGGAGTGAGACTGCTGGGTCATATGATAAGTATATGTTTAACTTTACAGAAACTCCCAAACTGTTTTCCAAAGTAGCCATACCATTTTGCATTCTCACCAACAATATATGAAAGTTCTGTTTTCTCCACATCTTCACCAGCACTTGGTATTATCAGGTTTGTTGTTATTGCTGTTGCAATCTAATAGGCATATAGCGGTATCTCATTGTGGTTTTATTAGTATTTCCCCAATGATTTATTATGTTGAACATCTTTCCAAGTGCTTATAGTCCATTCATATATCTTTCTTGATGTCTCAAATCTGTCCAAATCTTTTGCCCTTCTAAATCTATTTTTAATCACAATAAATATTAGTGGACTAAAACTAGTATAAAAAAACAGCACAGATTCTCAACCTGGATAAGATAACAAAATCCAACTGCATACTATCAAAAAGACATCTAAACATACGGACACTAAAATCTTGAAAATAAAAGGATGGAAAAATCATACCAGGCAAACACTAACCAAAATGAAGCTGGTATAACTACAGTAATACCAAACAAAATTGACTTAAGGCAAAAAGCATTATTTGGGATAAAGGATTCCTAAATAATGAGAAAAAATAAATGGAAAAATAACAATACTTACAGATACTTAATAATTAGACTCTATTTATATAAAGTAAAAACTAGCAGAATTACAAGGAAAAGTTGATAATTCCACAGTCATAGTAGAAACTTAGATTGAGCAGAAAAACAATATTGGCAAAGGTATATAGAACAATGAACTTCATAGTTAACAAAACAATCTGGTGTACAAATTTAGACCCCTACACTCAACAATTAGAAAAT